AAGCTTTAAGCATTTGGAAAAAAATATGTTAGCAAAATAACTTCTTCAGTTATTTAGATGGGGTAAACTCAATCGAAGTTCAATTAAAAACGTTGAGCTGCTGATGCTGATACCAAATAAAACTGACCTTTAATTACAAAGATAAATTTCGCTTAAGCCAAATATCTTTTCACCCCTTTATATAATAGTAAGTTTAAATGTAGAATTTTATTATATTTGGGTTATTTGAAATCAAGAAACTAAAAAGTAGTGTAAAGAGCATGTGTCCTTCTCCTCTGAGTCGCTGGTAACGGGGGTCTGATCAGAGACGCCGGTCCCCCGTGACCGCGGGGACTAGTGTTCCAAACGTCACAAAGAGCAAACTGTCCGCCACCCACGAGGCGAACAGACGTAAAAGTATGATGACTCTGGACAGCAGCAGCCGTCCGTGTGCTCACATCTCCGCGCTTGCTCACTGTGAGTCCAACAACACACCTCACAGCATGAGGTCGGACCACCGTCTGCCGTAACGATGCTCCGTGCCCCGAACATTCTAGAACACAACCAGAATGTTGAAGGAACGTTCTCGTCACAGTTCCTATTCAAGTCTCGATATCTTCCGACTGGAGTTTTACTTGAAGCTCTCCTCAAGTCAGTTTTCTACATTACGTTTTGATTTTGAGCCGCTTGGCATCTGTGAGCGCCTCTGCTAGACGTGGCTTTTTTATTTTATCGCTTAGATGGGTGGAAGAGCTCACAGCCCACCTGGTTGCCACACTGGTGTTAAGTGATTACTGAAGCCCATAGACATTTACTACGTAAGAGCGCCACCCACCTTGAGATGTAAGTTCTAAGGTCTCAGTATAGTTATAACGACTGCCCCACCCTTCAAGCCGAAACGCATTACTGCTTAACGGCAGAAATAGGTGGGGTGGTGGTACCTACCCGTGTGGACTCACAAGAGATCCTACCATCAGTAATTATGCAAATTATAATTTTACGAGTTTGATTTTTATTACACGATGTTATTCTTTCACTGTGGAAGTCAATCGTGAATATTTGTTAAGTATGTATTTCCTTAGAAAAATTGGTACCCGCCTGCGGGATTCGGACACTGTTGCATCGCTAGACACGAATGCACCGGACGTCTTATCCTTTAGGCCACGACGAGTTGTTGCTCGGTTTCTTCTAACAAGTCAACCGAAGTCTGACCAAATTCTCACTGTTCAACTGATACACTTCATTCCATGTCATCTCGTCTCGGTTCACTGAAGCGGACACAAACTTCATCTCATTCCTCTTTGTTTGTTATTTATCAGAACATTTATGTATTTTATTATAAACACGTCGTCGATTGTGATATACAAAAAGATGTGTAGTGTCGTGGCACACCGGATAGAAACGAAGTTCCTGATTATAAAAATATTAATTTTACGTTCTATTCGAGGTATAGAGAAAATAATTATTCGGGTATACATTTTTTATTGATAAAATTAAAAATAAAACTAATTTACAAAGTTATCAACTTTATTTTATTCACAATGATTTATAAAAAATATATAATAATAATAATAATATACAAAGAAACAGCTATTTATATGATTAATAATAATAACCGTCTTCACGTAGACTATACATAAGACACTGTATAGCCATCATACTAAGACTATACATAAATAATAAAAATCTCACGTTACGGACGTTTTTTCCCGGTTAGGGTACCCCTCCGCATCGTCCCATAAGGAACTTCGTTCCAAAAAGAAAAAGTACAGTTTTCTCGTTAAAATGCCGGGAATTTGTTTTAGCTTTAACGAGCTAGCCGGAAAAAGAACATCTCAGATAATGCGTGTCCGTTACACTTACGCCACTGGCAATAAACGTGTCGGTCCACTGAGGAGCCCTGAGTTGACCGCATGACGCGCCGGTCACGCGACGCGGAACTCAGTGTGCTTAGTGCGAGTATCTTAACGTTCTCGATAGCGTAAAAGTTAACGCAATTTTGTATGCAGTTAGAACAGCGCCCCTAGCGGCAAACGTACGCAAACGATCCCATTCCATACAAAAATATGAGGTAACTTTTACGCTCTCGAGAACGTTAAAAAACTCGCACTAAGCAAACTGCTTACGAATGTCTCCTATAAATGAATGTGTCCTAAACACGGATGTCACGCTCATCTCGATCTGCAGACGGAAAACGAACTGTACATTAAGTAAATATCGGGGGATGAAAGGTTATCCGGTTTCAGCGACATTTATCTTTGTAATTAAAGGTCCGTTTTATTTGGTATCAGCATCAGCAGTTCGATGTTTTAATTGAACTTCAATTAAGTTTAACTCATTCAAATATCTGAAGAAGATTTTTTGTTATTATGTTTTTTCTTAAACTTTAAATGGTTCTGTTGTAAAGTTGCAAAAATGTCGCTTAAGCCAAATAGCCCTCGATATCTATACTTCTATACTAACATTATAAAGAGAAAAGTTTTGTTTGTTTGTATTGAATAGGCTCAGAAACTACTAAACTGATTTGAAAAATTATTTCACTGTTTGGAAGCTACACTATTCCCGAGTGACATAGGCTATAATCTGTTTTGAAAAAAAAAAGGGATCCTTACTAAAACTCCAATAATGTAACCCAAGGTGTATAAAAATTACCTAAAATATTCTTTACATCGCGTGCCCTGCGAAAACTATTGATGATAGAATAAAATAATGTACTACGACTTTGTAGAACACATTATTATTTACAAAAAGTGTCGCAACAGCATATGTCTAACTATTATAGTTTTGCCGCAATAAGTTCTCTTTTATTTAAAAAAAATAAATCAACGTCAAATATCGTTGTAATTTTTGCTAAAGTCCCGAGCGGAGTCGGAGCGGGCCGCTAGTGTTATATAGTTTCGTTAACACTTTCAAGTGATTCTCAGACGACAGAGATTAATGTAGCTTTACATTTGGTGCCAACTACATCCACACCCGCCGTCCCAGCCCCGCCCCACCCCACCTCCCCGATGTTAACTCGACACTGGACCTTGGGTTTTATTGAGGTATGATGAGGAATGAGGATTGATTCACATCGTACGGACCGACGGCGGCCGAAGTTCTTTGTGACGTTTTATGATATACTAGACGATGACCGGTTTTTGTTGTTGATAAATTGTGTTTTTTAGTAGGTAATTATATTTAAATAAGAATTACACATTGATAAAATGACGAAATATTCCAAGATCTTTTAGGCATTTTTAAGTGAACACGTAAGTTAAAAAGACACAAATATAAATAAACAATTAATTTTCTTGGTCTAACCTTAAACCAAACACTCATTGGCTTCGGGTGGCTTAACAACGCCGTCTGCTGAAATAGCTTTAGTGCTATTGTGTCTTTAAAGCAGTTAGTTGAAAAATAGTATTATTATTCGCCAATAGATGTCGGGAAGAGTCATAAAGTTGATTATCAATAAAGTTGATTATTGAAAACACGAATACATTTTCTGACACACAACATTTTCTGAAAATAAATCGTAGTTAGCTCGATTTGTCGCCCCCGAAATCCACTGTATACTAAATTTTATAAAAATCGTTGGAGCCATTTCCTATATTCAGATTATATAATATATATACAAGAATTGCTCGTTTATAGGTAGAAGATAACAGTTTGTTTGATATTATCTGTGCAGTCTCTGTGCTAAACAGACGCGTCACAGTGTCAGAACAGATCAAAGCGAGTGTCGCGCGAGTCACTCGACACTCAGCCGACACTCGGCACCGGGCCTACTCACAGCGCACGCTCTTAATTAGAGTTCGCTTCGTCTTAGTTCAGCTAAACAAACAGTCGTGTATGACCGGACATTCTCCTGCTTGGGTAGGTTTGCAGGCAAATAGCACTAGATCTAATCTCTTTCTTTCTATATTCTCACTATTAACGATAAGTGAGTATTCAAGCGGTCGATTGAACTGATTCCGTGCCGAGACGTCAGCGACGAGTGACGTTTAGCCACGTGCGCCTCATGTCGTGCTTGTCCACATCTACACTAGTAGTTTTGCATCCCCAGTTCGATAGATGGCCCCACTATCTTCGCGCCATCATATATTTTTTTGTGTGGGTCCGGGCGTTGTTCAAAGACAGCGGTGTGTGCCGAAGCGTAGAACAATTTATTAATTTAGATTTTTTTTGCATTAACACGACTTGTTTTCTGGTATCACAAGCAGAATTTTTTAAACATAAAATATTTTTCGTAAATACATACGTACCTGTCAATAGATGGCAGCACATGTATTTGTAATCAGATAATATAAAATCAATTTAAATAGCTGTGCTATGAGTGTAAAATGCTTTCGTTCATTTACTTCCTTTGTTTGTTTCGTATTAAATAGCACTCGCAGTTAAAGAGTCCCCTTAGTCTCGCTTCGGAGCTGATCCATAATTTTTTTCTCACAAAGATACCTATTGAATGATCGCACCAGTTTGATTAAGGTCTATACCATGTTTTGATGTTATCATTTACCCGGATTCTACCTACCGGGTCACCATCTAACTTGTCTATGACGTGCTCCGTCCCGCCGGTCTGATGATGCATAGAAAGAGCCTTCAGACTGCGTATTGGAACGAAGTTCCTTATGGGATGATGCGGAGGGGTACTCTAACCGGGAAAAAACGTCCGTAACGTAAGATTTTTATTAGTAATGCACACAGTGTACGGCTTAACTTTGTAATAACGTACAAAAAATAACATATTTTTTATCATTCATTGACCACGATCTCAGAGCGTTCGTTTGCGCAATACACTAACTCTTATGCAAGCAACCGTGAATGAAGTGTACCACAATAAGTACGCACATTACTGAATGACCGTGGGTTGTTGCGAAACCTCCAGTTTTATTTTCTTTATACCTCGAATAGAACTTAAAAATAATATTTTTGTAATCAGGAACTTCGTTCCTATCCGGTGTCCCACGACACCACACATCTTTTTATCATTGCGTTACGTTGCGGTTTTCAATACGAGTTCGTTCGTTTGTCTACAGCGGAGGAGGAGTACCCGGAGGCCGCGCTGCCGACCCGCCACCGGCCGGAGGCTCTCAGCGCCCTCGCGCGGTCCAGCCGCTTCACCACGCACGAGATCAAGCTCATGTACCGCGGGTTCAAACAGGTTTCTGCTGCCGCCATACCAGTGTGCTCACACTGTGCTCACGTCGGCTGTGTGTGTGTGTGAGTGTTTGCTCGGTTGGTTGCAGGAGTGTCCGTCGGGGGCGGTGGACGAGGAAGCCTTCAAGAACATATTCTGTCAGTTCTTCCCGCTCGGCGGTGAGTTCTGTTTCATGCAAATTATATTTTTACTCATTAAGTATATCTTTATTATTTGAAGTCGTTTAAGTTACTGGTGGTAGGACCTCTTGTGAGTTTGCCCGGGTAGGTATCACCACCCTGCCTATTTCTGCCGTGAAGCAGTAATGCGTTTCGGTTTGAAGGGCGGGGCAGCCGTTGTAACTATACTGAGACCTTAGAACTGATATCTCAAGGTGGGTGGCGGATTTACGTTGTGGATGTCTATGGGCTCCAGTAACTACTTAACATCAGGTGGACTGTGAGCTCGTCCACCCATCTAAGCAATAAAAAAAAAGTTAAAAAATAAAGAATATCGTAAAATCTATCTCTTAATTGGCCAAGTTTAGGAGCTAGCCTCCTATATGACTTAAATTATTGGGACCGAGCGTTATCAACCCACTTAGTGCTAAGTGGTCACAAGATCTTATAGCCGCCACCAATACCGCCACTTGTTTTGAGAAATAAGAAGAACCAGAGCACACGAGGTCTTATGTAGTGACGAACTGTTATGACCGTGTACTGAACTCTAAGTGGATGACAAAGCCCTCGGTCATACATTTCGGTATCTATGCGTTGTCAGCAGTTTCATGAGTAAAGTCACAAATAGCTCGCGATTCACTTAGTCTATTCTCAGCACTCACGTCGATCGGTTGCTTAAGGGTCCCCTCCTCTTTGTAATATATAATAATAATAATATATAAATAACACAATAAACTTTATTTTAATTAAATACAATTTCTTTTTTAAAACGACCTCGGAGAGGGACCCCATAACAGAACGAAGACTTATAATACGGATCGCTCGATGGAGGGTGGTTACCGTCGCCGCATACTAGCGCAGCGCGCCGGTCGCAGGCCGTGAGTGCTGCGCCACCTCACGCAGCCGCCTGTGCCTTATCGACAGACGCCACGCAGTACGCGCACTACGTCTTCAACACGATCAAGCACAAGCAGAGCGGGAGGGTCAACTTCGAGGTGAGTGCCGGAGGTCGCGACGGGATGTAGCTGAACCTGTACATCAGCCAAGTTGCTCTGTCCTCCTGCGAACGAGGACAAGAGGACGCCGAGAACTTGACGGGCTTCCTGGTCCGACAGTATGATAATGAGTTAATGGTTATAGAAGTAGTTGAAACTGTCTGCATTTACAAATTTATAATATAATTCCGCTATAACATATATATTCTGTCCCATTGCCCCCCCTCCACACCCCGGCCGGTGCCGAACGTGTCCGAACATTCCCGAAGTATCGCCTTTAACCTTCAACTCACCACGGCGTCAGCTCCCGTCCAAATATTTTATTACCGTCGCACTGTTTCTAAATTAAAGTGAATTATCGATGTGCACACTGTGTTCTGCCGCGTTAAACAAGAGTCGCCACTAAAAATATCAGTTCCAGTGTGTTCGTTTTGAAACTATAATATAGACATCGATGGCACAATTGAATGTTACAACTAACGCCATCTATTGGCTATGTTCAAATAAAACTCACCATATTCCTCGCCGGTCCCGGCGGGCAGCACGGTCCAGATCCAGTTACATAAATTGGCACAAAACGTTCCCTCGACCAAATAGTCTGATGAGTCTTATTGCGAGAGCGAGAAAAGTTTATTTGTGCGTTAGGTGCGAGCGAGACGGCGCTAGACCGCCCGGCCCCGGGACCCTCTGCACGCGACTGTACATTTCCTTCGCGTTACACTTAAACGACTTTTGTTTGCGAATGTCTTTTGAAGGAAAACATTCAATTTGCATGTAAGACTTGCGAGTGTTTGATGTAGTTTTTTTTTATTTTTTTATTCTGTTGAATAAAGTAGTCCACAGTCCGACTTGTGATGGGACATCAGGCATAAGCATCAAATAAGCAATTCCGGTGTAGCCATGGACACGGTTATTGACAGTGCCGCCCGCACTCACTAATATTTGTTTGGAGTTGGAACGTTTGCCTACGTTTGCCGCTAGGAGCGCTGTACCAACTGCATACAAATTTGAGTTAACTTTTACGCTATCGAGAACGCTAAAAACTCGCACTAAGCACATAGCCCGTGGTCTCCTGTCCCGAGCGCGCTACGTATTCTACAACACACATTACACACGAATAGCGTGTCGGTGTGAGCTCATCGTCTTTGAGACCTCGGCTTCATGCTCCAAGGTCGAGTTCCAACCCATGTTGTGGCCTACGGTCTCCGATAGTGTTTCCAAGTGGATAATGACCTCGATCGATTACAACAATTGTACGAAACATTCGCCCAGCCTCAACTACCTGTTTATCATCTATTCACCCACAACATCTATTGTGTGCCCGCTCTATTGTGCCGTAAGTGATACTTCAGTAAATTACTCACAATGGCGTACACAACAGGAAGGGTATGCACGCTCGCACTGGAGCACCCTCTGGCGCGTTAATAAATTAAATATTAAAAATATATATGTTGATCGTGAATTGAAGAAAGCGACTTCATTTATAACTTGTGACATCTGGCGGCGAAGAGATCAAACTGCTTATAAATTCGAGTTAAACTGGGGACTTTAGAAAATGCACTTACGATTACTAGTGACATCTAGTGGAGAATAGAGGAAACCACACGTTAACAAGCACCTTTGAGTATACTGCTAATAATGACGTATAAAGGTGAGATGTTAATTAATAAATGATTTGAAATTAATACGTACCAATTGTGTTCTTAGACTATTGTTTTGTTTAACACAATAGCGACTGTTCGCATTGAGAATTGGCATGTAATATCGTTATAATGATGTAATATATAATTAGTTTGATCGATAACTTTAAGCACACGTAACCGACTATGGTTACATTATTATGAGCTGTTATTGACTTTTATTTTATTTATTAAGCAATCTTAATCAGGTTCAACTAGCGCCATCTAGTGGTGACTTTTAAAACATAATTATTTTTTATTGTGTCGCCAACCGTGGCCTTCAGTGTGAGCCGGATTTAATGTACTATAATTTAAATTTCTATAAATTGATTTTACTGTTAAATTTTAAGCATTTCCAGTACTCTATATGGCGGTATTCTACATATTTGTTGCGAGCTCGCAGAGAGACCCCGTCGCGTGTGCACAGCTCCAGTGCGTCGCCCTCCCTGTGTGACGTCACGCGACCCCGCTCCGAGCCACTTCTACTCTCGTCTGGATGCAGCTCGGTTCCTGGGGTCGACTGCACACTTGTGTTCATATCTACAGCCTCTGCAGAGAGGGGAGCATACGGCCTTCCACTCAAGCTAGTGGACACCGTCGCCCATGGACATCAGCATCGTCGTTGTGTGTTGTAAACGCTGGGGTTCACGTGTTAGCCTCGTCTTAGATCAATTTAGGTGGCTCTTAATTCGGTTCATTTTATTTTACCTCGCACGTGTTTGTTGTAAGTGGAAGGGAGGAGCGCGGGTAGATAGTGGGGACAGGTTGGGGGCAGGGGTGGTGTCTGGGGCGGTACGTCCGTCTAGTGGTCGTGTTGTGCTCGCAGGAGTTCCTGGGCATCCTGTCCCGAGTGGCGCGCGGCTCCGTGCAAGAGAAGCTGTCCTGGGTGTTCGCGCTCTATGACGTCGACGGTAAGCGATAGTACACCTTACTGCTTACAGAATAAAGGATATTATAAGCGGTCGTGCTCTGACGTTCAATGGGAAGTGAAAGAAAGTTCAAGAAGTTCTGAGGAATGGCTTCAGATGGATCGATATACTCCCTTGCCTTTTTGTTTTCTCAAGCGGCTTTGAAATGAACGTGATCACGATGACGTCACACCAAGTAATGTGATATATTTGTAACTGTCCCGTCTAGTCGAATACCCGACTAGTGATCCTCATAATGAAATGACTTCAGTTTGTGACACGAAAAAAAAAAACAAATAAAAACAGCTTTCGACGAAGTATTCACTAAAATACAAAATGAAACAGCCAAGAAAAAATTGTATAAAATACTGTGAAAAGGTGAACATTCATAAACTTTAACAATGAATAAGCTGATAAAATTCAAACAGTTCTCAGGTATTGAAGTGAAAACTTCTTCAGCCGCGTTGAGACTTGTTGGTAGATGAAAATCTTGTGGGTTCACGTCACTGGAATGTCAATAGATGTGAAAACCAAATTGATATTGATAATTTTAATTTGAACATTATAAAATTTCAAATTTGAACATTATAAAATTCTATAGGCAGTCCCTTTTTTTTGCTGAACCTCCTACGAGGTCACCGCGTCTAGGGGGCGTGCGGGGTATGTGGGACTGGTCCTTGACTGCGAGACCGCGCGCCCAGCGATGTTTTCAGGGCCCTACCCACTAAACGACTATCCTGCACTCTTCGCCCAAGCGTCCGATCTCCTCCGAGATCAGAACTCGGATGAGGTAAGGGGGTTACCGCGGTCAGCACTACAACCAGACGGCGCAGCTCACTCCAAGGACGCCCGGCCGACGGAGTCTTCGAGGCGAATCGAAGGTTCTAAAACGTCGGCCGTCTAGGTACGGCAGCCCGTCAGGCCGCCCAGACGGTGCCGCTTTTGTCCCGGAATACCCCGCTGTCTATCGGCAGTCCCTGTGCCTGTCATTTTCTTACTTTGTTTCGCTTTTCTATTCGTTGTATCTCTAGCCCGCTGGTGTTGTGCAGTTCAGCTCCGGTGTTGCCACGATTGTTTCCGTTTAGAATCGGTCCATCCTATGGCTATAAAATGCAGTCGAACCTTCTCGAATATTCCTCTTAAATCACGATCCATTGCTCATGTCTTATTGCTAGATTATGTTGCTAGTGGTATTGGTTTTAATATTAAGTGTTATTGAGATTTTTTTTGTCATTAAAATGCGTGTGTACATTTGGTAGGGGACGGCCGCATCTCCCGCGCCGAGATGCTGTCCGTGGTGCAAGCTATATACGAGCTGCTGGGACGAGCCGTGGCCCCCCCGGCGCACCCCACTGCCGCCAAGGACCACGTCGACAGAATCTTCCATGTATGTGCTCCACTCGCAGGAGACTCCAGGAGATGACATATCTAACAGCGCAGCGCCACGGCGGGCTCTCACAGTATCTACATCGATTTAGGTGCAAGGAGAGCCCGGCGTGTGTTTGTGATCCTGTAAACCAAGAAAGCATTGTGCATGTGCTGATAGAATGTCCAGTGCATGCAAAAGAAAGATTTGACACCGAACAACATATAGATTTAAATATAGAAGTAAGAAACCTACCATTGATATTAGCAGATAAGAAAAATAGAAGCAAATTTATCGAATATTGTAAAAAAGTAATTAGAATAGTAATAAATAGAAATAAGCAGTAAATGATTACTAAAATATATAATAAAATAGTATATATTATTAGTAACAATAAAAATGTAAGATGTGCAAAAAGAACAAGAAAACATGTAATAGATATAAGTAGGTTAATGAAATAGTAAGAGAAATAAGGATATGGCAACAATGGACATAGTTTAATAATAAAATATATATAAGACAGGTGGGGTTTATTAGAATAAGATGAAATATTGTTAGTAGTCAGTAACGAAATATTAATAAAGATAAAATAAATAATAGTAGGCCAAAGTAGGATCTCCCAAAGAAGGAGTAGAATGGATAGGGTGGGTGTAAGTTAAAATCTAAATACGAATCGGATGTAAAAAGACTCTGACCTATGTTAGGGGAAACAGTAACGCCCTGTGATGACGGGTGTCTTAATTTCATAAAAAAAAAAAAAAAACAGCGCAGCGCTCACTTAGTATTGATATGTTTTCCAGTTGATCGACACGAACGCAGACGGCGTAGTGACTCCGGACGAGCTGGCGCGCTGGTGCAGCCGGGACCCCGCGCTGCTGCGGTCCCTGGACACCCTGGACACCGTGTTGTGATCCGCGCCCGCACCTCACAGGTACACCGCGTAGAACTAGACGCGCACATGTCTACCCAGCTGACTATTAGTTGGCGGTACTCACTCACTACACATTTTTTTATTTTTTTTGGAACAAAGTGCCTTATGTTACGATGCGGAGGGGTACCCTAACCGGGAAAAAACGTTCGTAGCGTAAGATTTTTAGTAATGCACACAGTGTACGACTTAACTTTTTAATAACGTACAAAAAATAACATATTTTTTTATCATTCATTGACCACGATCTCAGAGCGCTCGTTTGCGCAATACACTAACTCTTATGCAAGCAACCGTGAATGAAGTGTACCACAATAAGTTCGCACGAATGACCGTGGGTTGTTGCGAAACCTCCAGTTTTATTCTCTTTATACCTCGAATAGAACTTAAAATTAATATTTTTATAACAAGGAACTTCGTTCCTATCCGGTGTCCCACGGCACCACAAATCTTGTTTTGTTACTTAGATGGGTGGACAAGCTCACATTCCACCAGGTGTTAAGTGGTTACTGGAGCCCATAGACATCTACAACGTAAATGCGCCACCCAACTCGAGATATAAGTTCTAAGGTCTTATGTATAGTTACAACGGCTGCCCCACCCCTCAAACCGAAATGCAGTACTGCTTTACGGCTGAAATAGGCATAGGACACATATATATTAATGTGGTCCCTGTTCTATTTGAACCCGGATGCTGCAGCACCACCGTCGTGTCTAAGCGTATTTATTACTAGGCGATGCAGTTCCAGTTGCTACTTACCTTGGAGATGCTGTATCGTCATATAAAAAATTAAATAAAAATTAGTATGATAAAATATCTTAGATATGCTTTCGCCTCGCACAAACAGAAATTCTATTTTTTCGTGTTATATATTCCAGTTGTTGTGAAGGTGAAGCGATACCTTCCAGTTCAAAGGAAGCCGACGTGCCCGGCGCGACGCCCACCAGAGTCACCGCCGTCGTGAGTACCGCACCTGTAGTTCCATAATGTCCTCCTCAGCCTCCTCCTCCTCTACCTCCTCGTATGAGGAAAACTGTACCACTAACCTCTGAATTGATTGACATTTTTTCACAAACTATAAAATTTTCTCATAAAATCTGATTTCTTTTTTTTATTTGCAGATAACAGAAGAAGCATCTCTGAAGAAAGTAAAACGTCGGAACCGACGCTCCAGCACGCGCCGGTGAACAATTACTTTCATTAAAAATTCTTAACAAAATGAATGTGATCTCACAATAACGTATATAATAAATCTTTGAAATTATGACCATGTGTCGTCTAAAGTACTTAATTATATTATATTTATTAAACACGAGCCTAGTTCGTTGCTCAGTATTTAATTGCTTCCAACGAGCTGAGTTGGGAACTCGCACGTGTAAGGCAGACCAATTTTTCGAATAGATTTAAAATTGGCACGTGACGATGTCTTTGTCAATAGCTGTTCAAGCTGTTGAAGCAAACATTTATTACTAATTTCTGCACGAAACCTTTGAGCGCGTAAACCATGTGTCATCTAGATAAATTGACAAACAAACTTTAACATGGAGTATTGTTCTATGCTTTATAATAAAGTGACAAATAGTATTGAAATAAATTTGATCTTCCATTATTTATTATAATTCTACAAGCACTGACTATACATTAACGTGCAATTTTCGTTGTTTGACTCACGTTTCCTATTTGCACTTGATGGAAGCCTTCAATAAAGTCTAACTTTAAAAATTTATATTTATTAGTCTATAAAATAGATTTAAGGATTCTATTTTTCGAATAGCTATAACTTAGTGATTCTATTACACGATTTTAATAATTTAAGGAACAACATTACTGCTAATTAACATCCACAAAAATATCGAAGTGATGACGCCACAAAAAATGTAATAAGCTGTATAATTGTTGAATCATTTATGATCAAAGATTGGCCGGAGTTGCGGCTCTCACTGAATCGCTTTGAAGCACAAAATATTAAAAAAAAACGTGTGGCACTCGGGGACTGCCGCGGTAAAGCTGTTGCATGGCATTTTTTATCAACTTTTGCAATTATAATTAGATAATAGTAATTTTATATTAAAAAAATAATAAGATAAGACCACGCTCTATTTATAAAAAATAACAAAAGCAAAACATTAACTGTCCCTTTCACACTTATAAGCTAGACCGCGCGAGACAGAGATGGGCAGACTTTTCATGATGCGCATGCAGTGCGACGTCACGCCCCGCGCTTATTCACAAACACTACACAAGCGCAACGGGTGAATGTATTGAACGCGAGCTACATGGTAGGCGGTGGCGGTAGGCACCCCCAGGTGTTAGGTTTTATTTCCGTTTCGGAATTTCTTGATTCGGTCGCTGCGCTCAAAGCCCGCGATAAAAGCTATGCAATAGCTAAATTACTGAAGTAATTCATAATTATAAGTGAAAACGAACAATAACCTTAGGATACACGCGAGACTCATGGACAGAGAGTAACAAGTCACTACCGCGAGACGTACACAGTCCTGTTCGACGACTGTTCATTCAGTTACATGTGTGTGCTCTCTCATACTTAGCTAATCATAGCTCTTTATAAATTTAACATTAATTACATATTTATCTCTTCTATACTGCTAGGTGTCAAATTAGCACAAGTTGGAAATGCTAAAATGGAAAAATCTACCAGATTAGGTTAGAAGTGCAGAGTAATCACTGGACTATAGTAATACCCAGTTACAGATTACGAATACTACACACAGCTCACTGATGTGCGTAGCACTGAACGCTACAGAGCTAAGAAGATAGGAAAGAAAATTATAAAGTGAAACATAACAGCCCAAAGCTACAGTAAATGTAGTATTTGAAAAGAAATTTTTACTGTTGCGCAATTAGTAATATTGTATTCTGACATGCCGCGTAATGCTATGAATGCAGCTCAGGTACTTCGCTCATTAAATATAAATATTTAATTAATATAACTAATATAAAATAATAAGAATTTAAAAACTATTCTTGCCTTAAACTTAAAATGTAGTTTTTATTCCAGGATGGAATGTTTTACAATTTGTCTGTTTGTCTGCACATTCTTTGTTAATGCAATTCATTAAATAAATTAAGTTTCATTTCATTTATACGTCTTAATGTGAATTTTCTAAGCAATACTTATTGACTTTAAATTAATTATTAATACCTTTATATTAATATATTTAATGCAATAATTATAATTAGATTGAATTAAAGTCTCCGAATTCCTGAAATCGTAGTTTTATTTATTTTCCCCGAATTCTAATACAAAACGAGTTAAACTCTTTTGGCAGTGGATACATCTAGTGAAGGAGTAGATCTTATATTTACTTGTTTCACTCACTTGTTAGGTTTTTTTTCTGCTTTTCCGTGATCATAATTCACCGGGTCCTTACTATTCTAACTACCACCTTCATTTCAGTTCTCGCATTTAAGCCTCTCGCACTTTCAAGCCGCAAACGTTATGCATTCATTCATCATCTTGTATTCTGTGCCGGGTGGGATTCCCGCTAATTTGCCTTAGCTTGGTTCGATTTGCAGGGAATAACTTTTAGGTTTATTTTTATTTCAAACTAGCTGACCCGGCAGACTTCGTAGTGCCTCAATCGATAAATAAAAGACACATCAAGGGTACACATCTAAGGAAAAACAAAATTGTTTGTTTTTATATAATTCCAAGCATTTTCATATTTTTTCACCTTTTAAACCTTCTCTGGACTTCCACGAATAATTGAAGACCAAAATTAGGCAAATCAAGTTCGAGTTCTCGAGTTTTAGCGAGACTAACGAACAGCAATTCATTTTTATATATATAGATAAATAAGATCAACGCTTTTTATGTTTACAATGGGCGCTAACATTAAGTGTTATCTACTTTGACACTTACTATTTACTTTCTTATTTTCTAGGTTTTTTTAGATAACATTAAACTTAGTAATTGTTTTCTATGATGTCATGACATGTAAACTTTTTAATATTCTAACGTTATATAACAAGGTAGGTTCTCTTATTACTGATTTTTTTAATGACAATTTTTATCTTGCTTTTTGGGTCAATAATCTAAACATTTTCTAATTTTGCCGTTCTATTATTGGTCGCAAGTTTGTCTGAGCTTAACCAGATGAACTTTTTATACTCATTATTACGAATATTGTGTTCTATCTACGGTTGTCTATCGCTATTTCGCTTCTGACATGTGTCACGAATGGATTTAAAAAAATAAAAATACAATAAAATAAAATAAAAATAAATAAAATATCTATTCTAATTTTAGCATGCTCTGTCCAACGAGCCCTGAGTGAGCCCCTCGCGGCGACCGGCGGCTGCGCTAAGTCGGCTGCTACGCGGCTACGACACCTGCCTACGAAGTGCTCTACGCCGGTGTTCCTGTTCGTTTGGCGTAGCTTTTTTTTTTTTTGGAACGAAGTTCCTTATCGTGCGTTGTGAAAGGGGGCTAGACGGAAAAGATTCTTAGGAAAAGTTGTCACGACAATTTTAGATCCGTCATTCTGACCAATCAACGTGTAGGCGCTTATCGCGTGACATTGCTCGTATCCGATTGGTCCGCGTAATGAGTACAGTTTCTCGAGATAGCGTTTCAACAATAGTAATTTAGTTCATAGTATTGTTTTTTTCTTCTTCATAATGCCGTAATTTATTATTATAACTTAAAAATTACAATTCCTTCACTAATTAATCGAAAGGAACTTCGTTCCATCCGGGTGTCCCTTGACACGTCTGAAGTTTTTTTTTTTTTTGGAGTTTACTCCTTTAGAATCGATTTACATATATAGGCCCGGGGTATGAAAATTATGGGGACCAAAATCGTACTAGCATGTCACACGAAATGCGTTATGCGCCTGATTGCGCATGTCACACGAAATGCGTTATCGCAGGTGACGCCGGGCTGCTGCGCCGGCAGTCCGCCACAAAGCCTCGTACTGATCGCGCGTTTCTCTCATTATTGTATTTTCATATATTTGTTAGTCGTTTGTTTTGTGTCTCGTTAATTTGTTAATAATCTGTAGTGTATCGTGTTGTCGTAATATAGAACTATTTCTCGTATTGTTTCGTTTAATTTTTTATATCCAGTAAACTCCAGTCGTGCGTCGGAGCGGACACACACACTTTTTTTCCTACCTGAGCTGAGAGCCTTGAGAGGCTATTTCAGCGTAACCCTAACGTTTGTAGGTGAGCTCACGGGGTTCAAACCTGATGACGTTGCTAACACGAACCCTAGCAAGAGCCGTGCTTCGCAGAATCTACCACCGGATCGGAAACGCGACCCACTGAGAAGATCCGGCGAGAAACTCAGTGGGCTGTGTCTGAGAGTTTAAGCGTAGCACTGTCGCGTCTTCTCTTTATAGACGATTATATAGCTGTACCCGTCCGCTTCGCTGGGCATTTAAAATTAAAATTATTATGTCTCACCCCCACAAAGATTCTCATTATTAATGCCCCCGCAACTGCTGTAGGCGGTCCAACACTCATATTAATATTAGCCTATCCATTAAATACATGTATTTTCTACATGGATACCAAATTTCAAGTCAATCGGATGCATGGTTCAGTAGTTATAACGGAACATCCGTAAAAGCCACTGTAGATTTATATATTAGTATATAAATAACAAAATTACTCCACTTGTCGAGACGGAGGATGTATACGCCACTCACTCGCACTCGTATGAGTCGCCCGTTGAGTTCATCGCCGATATAGTTGTGATTCAGTGGTATAGCAAATTTGGTGAAGTGTTTGTTATTGTTTTTACAGGTGATGATTCTACTTATGCGATCCCTCGTCAGAGACTCGTTGATTGCAGCCTCGAACTACCGTCGGGCAACGCCGGGCACTCCAGGAACACATGCAGGACGTCTTCCACTACCCCAGGCTCACACGGGCACCACGGGCTCTCACCCAGCTTGAAGTGGTGTAAGTATTGGCCAAAGCCTCCGTGCCCCGTTACATTTTTGTTATTATGCTGTTAGGTGTATTATTATTATTTTTTTTTATTGCTTAGATAGGTGGACGAGCTCACAGCCCATCTGGTGTTAAGTGGTTATTGGAGCCCATAGACATCCACAACGTAAATGCGCCACCCACCTTGAGATATAAGTTCTAAGGTCTCGAGTATAGTTACAACGGCTACCCCACCCTTCAAACCGAAACGCATTACTGCTTCACGGCAAAAATAGGCAGGGTGGTGCTACTCACCTGCGCGGACTCACAAGAGGTCCTATCACCAGTAATTACGCAAATTATAATTTTGCGGTTTTCATTTTTATTACACGATGTTATTCCTTCACCGTGGAAGTCAATCGTGTACAATTGTTAAGTACGTATTTCATTAGAAAAATTGGTACCCGCCTGAGATTCGAACACCGGTGCATCACTCAGCACGACTGCACCGGACGTCGTATCCGTTAGGCCACGACGACTTTGTTGCGTATGTATGCAAGAGGGACATCAGGGAGGAAAGTTTGTATAGACTTGTTATTAATCAGCTGTTTGTATTCTTTATTCTATTTTATTACTGTTTCCTCCCTAATAACCTAGCTAGCATACGAGCGCGGAGAGTTGTTGTAATCAACTTTAGTTTTTTTGTGCAGGGCAGTGGTCTTCGCCAGTTTATCCGCACGTTCGATGGCTGCAGTGCCCACGTGAGCCCTCAGCCAGAATAGCCGATGACCACACCGACGGCCCTAAGTCGCACTATGTTCGCTCTGATTCTGAAAGCGATAGGGTGGAGAGAGGTGAGGTCTTTCATTGTATGTATGGTATGGTGGTAGGACCTCTTGTGAGTCCGCGCGGATGGGTAACACCACCCTGCCTATTTCTGCCGTGGAGCAGTAATGCGTTTCGGTTTGAAGGATGGGGCAGCCGTTGTAACTATACGTGAGACCTTAGAACTTATATCTCAAGGTGGGTGGCGCATTTACGTTGTGGATGTCTATGGGCTCCAATAACCACTTAACACCATGGGCTGTGAGC